AGCGCTGCTGATGCCTGAACGGTATGTGGAATGAAGTGGGCGGGCATCGGGAGGCCACTATGGCACGGGGCAAGCACTATGGGCAGTCTATCTGAAGTGTACCTGGCGTATAAGACGACCCCCCACTTGGAGGCATATTTTTCAGGGCCAAAAAATCGTCTTATACGCCGGCAAATACGGTACCCTTTTCAATTGTGCATCAGACACTATACTGGAAGCTTTTTATTTTTTAATATCTCATGTAATCCTCCCAATAACTTACTGAAGTGTGGGTTATTGTCCCTGTTTCCTCAGCGGGAGGCAGAAGGACAGGAAGTTAAGTGACTTGTCCAAAGGCACACACAGCTAGCAGCGGTTGAGCTAGGTCAGAACTCTGTCTCTTCTCCATTACACGTCATCGATCCTGGGACCTTGAATCAACTAGCTGCACATTCCAATTGGGAGCTTACCAGCCCAATTCTGAACACCACCCCACATAAAGGGGAAACGAGGAGGGAGCTGAAATTTGCCTTAAACTCCAGTGGGTGTGTGAACAAGGAATGAAGTCTGGGAAAGCATAGGAGAAGGATGTTGATTCCTCATTTGGTCCTCAGGTACTGGAACTCCTTAAGCAACCTGGTGGCATCCTTGCTGAACTCCGTGCGCTCCATCGCCTCCCTGCTACTACTGCTCTTCCTCTTCATCATCATCTTCTCCCTTCTGGGGATGCAGCTCTTTGGAGGAAAGTTCAACTTTGATGAGATGCAGACTCGGAGGAGCACGTTTGATAACTTTCCCCAGTCCCTCCTCACAGTGTTTCAGGTATGTACTCTCCTCTGCTGGGCTTATGACCTGGGGGGCGGAGGTGGTTGAGTGGTGGGGGGAGGGGGGAGCAGGAAGAAGAAGCCTGGCAAGGTGGGGGGAAGCTTCACCCTTGCATGGGCAGCCAAAGCCAGCTAGATCAGCCACAGAGGGTCCATGCCAGGGGAACCTTGAGTTCCTTCTATAGTTTCCCCCACCCGCAGGCCCCCATGGAATTTCTCTGTTGGGTGGACTATTGAAAAAAAGATCTAATTGAGAGGTTTAAAAACTCTTCCTAGCCTTGGGGACCTTTATTCAAATAAATTCTACATGGAAGCCCAAAATATAAACAAATAAAAGCAGACTACTCTGTCGTGGGAGGGGAGGATGGAGCTCTGTCTGTCTATCCACCATGCTTGCCCCTAGAAATACATAGCTAGCCTATCAAATTTGTGCTTCCATAGATAGTTTGGTTTAGGGCAAAGCTAAAGTAGCACTTGTTTAAGTTTAAAAGTAGATTGATTTACAGGTAAAAATGAATAACAATGTGGATGTTGTCAAAATCTTAAAGCTGGGATCCAGATGACTAATGTTTGGAGAGAACTGGATTGTGTGTAATTCTCCTGATGGACACATTCACATTTGTAAAGGGGCCCCAAAGAATGGCTAGCAGTGGCCATCCCATGCACCATATGTGGGCAGTGGGAGGTGCCTTGACCAGGAAGCCCTTTGGGTCACTTCTCAAATAATAGTGTGCCTGTGGCCATGCACTTTGAGGACAGGGTCAGCTTGCCAGGTCCAGCTCAGTGGCCCAGGGAGGAGAGCTGGGGCAGGAGAGCCAGAGGTGGAAGGAGATTTCAGGCGTTCTTGTTAGCAGAGCGGGGCAGGGCAGGGGAGTTTTGGGTTTGCTGTTGGTCTAACACTGTGTCCCTTATTGGTGGGAATGTGTCATTCAGATCCTGACCGGGGAGGACTGGAATTCGGTGATGTATGATGGGATCATGGCTTATGGCGGCCCCTCTTTTCCAGGGATGTTAGTCTGTATTTACTTCATCATCCTCTTCATCTGTGGAAACTGTATCCTTTGCTCCTGCCTCCCCACCCCTACCACCCACCCTCCCTCAGCCTACAGCCCGGTGCCAAATAGGTATGCCCGCAGGCCATCACTCAGGGTGAAAACTGTAGCTGCCCACCCACAGGGCCCCGAGGCAAGTGGGAAAGGGCATGTTCTGGGGGAGAAAGCAGTTCCTAGCACAGACCGCCTTAGCTAGAGGAGGGGCTTGGTGGAAGGAGTCAAGAGCTGTGGCACAGGCAGGATGTAAGTTCATCTTCCTGTGTTGTTCTGCCTAAGCGCTGCCTGACTCCAGGAGGCATGTCCTCCTCCTAGTTCAGGTGACCAACACCCCTGTGTTATCGTGTGCAGCCCCATGTGAGCTCACACAGACTCCCGTGTGAGCCACCTAGATGTGAGCGCCTTAGCTGCCCTGGCTGCCCTGGCCTCATGGGGATGGGGGGCTTTGTTGACCAAACCTCATCCTTCACATGACCGTCATCTCTTCCCCTGCCTTCTGGTCAGTGCTCCTCCCTCTGAAGCCACTCTGCCAGCTTTTGGTCATGGGAAAAGCTGGACACACCTCACTAGGCAGGTCCATGGGCAGTATTTTAGGGTCTCACATGTGGGCAATCCTCTCTGCCCAGGGTGGTCACCTGTGAGGCTGTGTGCAGAGGCAGGAGGCCAAGTAGATCAGGGTCTAAATCACAGATGAATGAAATGCAGAAAGCATGGCCCTGGCCCCAAAGATAGGCTGGGAAACCGCTGCTGATGATACACTGGGGTGATAAAGTGATAGTAGCTGCTCCTCAGTGGGTCCTTGTGAGGGTCAGTGGGTAAGGCCCAAGGGCAGGTACCCAGCAGCCTCTTGGACAAACCCCCCGCCCCTGGTTGTGGTTTCCCTGTGTGTGAAATGGTATGACTGTCGCGTCTGGGGGAGGAGGTCAGACTTAACAGATGTTAAGTCCCTGCTCAGCTATCCTTTCTTTGCTTCTACAGTTCTCTGACCCAGTGTTTCCATTCAAAGTTTGGGGTAGAGGGAGAAGACAAGGGCAAACAGCCACTCAGTCGGGACTTGCCAAGCTCCACCGGACCCCGGAGGGCCTCTCTATGGGCGGCTCGCGTTAAGAGTTGGCAGGGATATCAGGCCACCTCCTCAGTGCCCAGCTATAATGAACAGCCCTTAAGAGCCCTCTGTGTTGTTAGAGACAATGCTCTTCATAATGTCAATTACAGCCAGCAGTCTCTGTGGGGAACCAATAATGAAGCCCAGCAATTAGAGAGCGAGGCAGAGCACTGCCTTCCTCCCTCCCTGTCTAGCCTGAAAGCCAGCCTACTCTCCACCCCTTAGAAAACTCCAGGTAGCTAGAAGTGTGATGTGGAGGCAAAGAGATGGAGGAGGGACACCCCTGAGTTCAGCACTCCTGAGTCATGGTTGAGCTCCCTCTGTGGGGAACTCTATCCCTGCATGTCCTGCACTCCCTGGCCCCCTATGCCCACCAAAAACCCCAAGGCCAAGGGTCATTTTCTTTAAGAATGGACACAAACAGATATCCTACTGAATGTGTTCTTGGCCATTGCTGTGGACAACCTGGCTGATGCTGAGAGCCTCACATCTGCCCAGAAGGAGGAAGAAGAAGAGAAGGAGAGAAAGAAGCTGGCCAGGTAACCCTCTAAGCTGCCCCAGGCCCAGGGCCCCAGGGCCCAGTTCTGGAATGCCATTCCCATTGGTGGTAAAGAGAGGTGTGAGCACGGCCTCTGCTGGCCTGTGTCCCTCCCAGAAGGGCACTGGGTTTGGGACTTCCTAGAATAGGTTGGGCCTCTCCCCTAATTCCTAGGCATTGCTCCAAAGTGGGGACCAGCATGAGTTACAGCCTCTGTGAAGGTGTTGCATTCCCCCACCTGTGTAGGAAGTTGTGGTTTTCTCCTTTGAGAAAAGAGGTCATCATAGGTGAGGGAAGCAAAGGATGGGAAGGTAGGAGCAACCACTCGGTGAAGAATTGCAACTCCAGGTGAAAGAGAGATTCCTTCTCACTGTTTTGAAGGCAAAATTGGGCCCTCCATTGTCTTGTCATTGTCTAGATGGGACTGTCCTAGGCCACAGATCTGCTGGGTTCTGAGCCGAGTTCTCAGGAGCCAGTCCTGAATGAGAACCCAGAAACTTTCTCTGACTTAGACAGGGCCTAGGAAAGGCCAACTGAGTACAGACAGCAAGGTGTGGCCAGCTGCCTGGATCCTGGGCCCAGCCCTGTAGCATTTGTGATGGAGCTGCACCTGCCTGTGCCCCAGGGAAGGACGGTGGACACAGGCACGGGAATCTGCTCCCACTGGCCCCCAGCAGACGTCAGGGCAGTTTCCTACCCCTGTTCCCTGTCACTCCAGTAAACATCCCTTTATGGTTTTCTCCTGCTGACCGGCCAGGACTGCCAGCCCAGAGAAGAAACAGGAGGTGGTGGAGAAACCCGCAGTGGAGGAGACCAAGGAGGAGAAAATTGAGCTGAAATCCATTACAGCTGATGGAGAGTCCCCGCCCACCACCAAGGTGAGCACTGTCTCCTTCCAGGACCTGGGAAGGCAGGGACCATCTTCCCAGGCCAGACACCCATGGAAAAG